TTTTTTTTAATTTTTAGAAACCGTAAGAGTGTATATAATGGTTCCATTTCGCTGGCAAAAAGTAGAACACGAAATTGCACTTTGTAAAGAAATATAGCGCGGCGCTCCACGAAAGCGGACGACCGAGAGGACATTGCAGAGTTATTTTCCAGCTTATTTCCTGATATAGACATGTTATCAGTTATTTCATCACTCAATTTTCTTTCCATTTTCTTTGCAGGCACAGATAACAGCGAGTTCACGGTGGCCTGGTACCATCGAATGATTTCGGCGCAGTTTCCTCTTAGAAAGAAAGAAACCACCAAAAGAGAAACCTGGATAAAGCAAAAAACATTTTTTGATGCAATTTATGTTGACTGCACGGAAGTTCGATTGTAAAGTTGGTTGCATTTGTGACCATTACTATGACAGCGTATAGTCTTAGTCAGGAAGCCTTGAAGTCTAAGATTTTGCCAAAATTTAAATTATTACACAAATTAAGCGATTTCTAATAATGCCTGTGAAAATTGAATTTTTAAAAGTAATATAACGGAAGTTAATCGCCAGGCAGTTGATTTTATAGTAAAAGATAAAAAAGGCAAACTGTAAGTGCTGTTTGTTGAGCCAGTTATCTTTGATAATAATAATCACCCTTTTGTGGACTTTTGTGCGATGAACGTTTTTGGATTTATAGTACTAAGTTATTAGTATTTCAGTGTTGTAAATAGTCTCAGTAACGACTTGGAAGATAATTTCTGAGGGAAAACTAAAACCACGTACAGTAATTTGCGCTGAGTAGTAATAATAGTATTTTTGTGACATCAGGTGTTGAATAAAGAAACCACATCACTTGCAATAACAGTCCTTCATTGACTCTCGTAAGACCCAAAACAAAGGATTCGTAGGTAGCCAAACGCAGCAAACAATGTCAGCCCCCGCCCGCCCGCCCAAGTGGCCAAACGCGGCAAACAATGTCACCCCCACCCCCCTCCCACCACCCAATCTCGTTCCCAGGGCTTTTCCCTCAGCAATCTCTAAGTAAAAGCCCTGGGAACGAGGTTGCACCACCACCAAACAAATAATATTAGATTTGATAATGAGTTACTTGTGTTAGAAATGCAAAAAAAGTTGGGGGTCTTCGTTTCAGAGATAAAGGTCTACAGGGGTTTATAGTTAAAAATATCGAAGGTGAGTCGACGGAGGCAAACTATCTCAGTCTTATTTTGTAGAAATGGGTCTGTTGCGTAAATAGTTCCAAACGTTGCCAACGTTTTCACAAAACTTAACCCTTCAAGAAGCATTTGAAAAAAAAATTGGGGGTCTTCGTTTCAGAGATAAAAGTCTACAGGGGTTTATGGTTAAAAATACCGAAGGTGAGTCGACGGTGGCAA